ACATACTCAAAGATACAACACTCACAAATGACACATNCCCAGACAGATTGTCCAAGTGTTGCATTGCCATAACTTAACCAACAACAACACATGGATAAAAAAGACAAGTCTGTTATGAAAATGCATAGAATGATCATATCTCTGTAGATTTAACTTTTTCATGTTGTTAAATAAAATTTTATTTTTTTCATAATCTTCATATTTTCAGATATGGTGGTATTATTATATATGAAGTGTAACACATATGAATGCATGAGGAAATGGTTGATAGCATTAATAATAATAATATTATTATTATTATTATTATTAAATACTTGTTGAGAAGAGGAACTATTTGCACGTAAAGTGCAACTAATACAGTAAAGGGGGAATAGGTACCTTCTTTCCCGTGGGTTATGGGACGAAGTATTCTTTATTCTGATGTAATTTGTGAATATTATATTGCAATAATAATAAGGGCTCGAAAGGCACTCCATGGCAGGCATCCTTATGACCTGGCCCAGGATTTTGTTGACAAAACTGCGTCAAACAGCTGGTTAGATCGGGGATGCCTCTTTGGGGAGACGGAAGGATTCATGATTGCCATACAGGATCAGGTCATAAATACTAAAAACTACAGAAAACACATACTCAAAGATACAACACTCACAAATGACACATGCAGAAAATGTCACATCATGCCAGAAACTATACAACACATCACTTCTGGTTGCAAGCTCTTGGCACAGACAGATTACTTACATAGACACAATCAAGTAGCAAATATAATACACCAAGAGCTTGCAAAGAAACACAAATTGGCAGACATCCACGAACCATACTACAAGTATATTCCACAGACAGTATTGGAAAATAACACGCACAAAATGTATTACGACAGAGCCATAATCACAGATAAAACAATTTACCACAACAGACCAGACATCACACTCATTGACAAACACAATAAAATCACATACATTATAGACATAGCCATTCCAAACACTCACAATGTACAAAACACATGCACTGAAAAAATTAGCAAGTACACAGAACTCGCCCAGGAAATAAGGCATCTGTGGAGGATGGATAGGGTAGTTATTGTACCTGTTGTTCTCTCCTGTACAGGTGTGATACCACACACACTACACAAAAGTCTGGGAACATTAGAATTGAGTAGAAATACATACATAACACTACAGAAGGCCACTATATTGAATACATGCCACATTGTTAGGAAATTCCTAAATACAGACACTGACACACTTATTTAATTTTAGTTTTGTTTTGGTTGCTATGCCTTGACTCTGGTCCGGCATAGTACACAGCCACCGGTGTGTATCGAGTATAACCCACTAAACCCAACACATAATAATAATAATAATAATAGTAGTACAGAAATGCAATTTGAATTGAACAGGAGAATAAAAAAAAAATATTAAATTTAGATGTAAAAATTTTTAAAAATATGACAGAAAACTAGAATTTTCTATCTATAAAAAATCATGCATTAGAACTTTAGAACAATGAAAAAAATCTCATTAAAAACAATTAAGTGTTGTGTGTCATTAAAGGTTTATTAAAATTGCTATATAATTTTTTTTCATGGGTAAAATTTCAGAAAAAATTTGTGGACCTAAAAAACATCAAAAAACACACAAAAGAATTTTTTGACCCATGAAAGTACCTAACTTTTTGTAATGCTATGTAATCATGATGAGTTATCTCGTCAGTGGGAATTAAGGAGATAACTCTTTCAGAACCTTTTTACTTCCAGTAAGGTACTATATTCAGATGCCAGTTCTGGCATCTGAATATAGTACCTTACTGGAAGTAAAAAGGTTCTGAAAGAGTTAGTGACAAGTTCCATTATTTAAATAGTGTAAATTTGGGTGTGTTTATAATTTTGAAATGGACTGTAGGTACCATACTGAAAGATAAAAATTTCCAAAACATGTTTAAGATAGTTGATAGAAAATTAAAAAAAGTAAGTATTGAAGTGGATTAATGTTCCATATAGAAACAAATTTCTCTTAAAAATAAAACATCAAAATCTTGACAAGGGCCAGCGCAGAGGTTTAATTCACACTACAAATGTTTTTGATCTTCTAAGATCTGCATCAAGTTTAATTGTTCTAAAACAGAATGCTCAGAACAGTTGCAAAGTTCAAATTTAAATTCTGTAAATAAACCAATCAGATGTGTTTCCAAGCAATTGAAGTAATTGCAATCATAAAGTGTTTGCCAAGCATAAGAAATCCATTTTTACTTTCTCGGCTCTGTTATATATAACAGAGGAAAAGTATGGCAATTAGTCAAAAAGTGACCCCCCAAGATTTTTACATTTTTTGACTTGGGATCTTGAAACATCAAGAAATACAGAAAAAAAACCCACAATTTTGTTCACTCTTTTGAAGCTTAATAACTTCTGTTTTTTGTCAAAAATTTCTGAAATTTTGCAGGTAGGTTTATGTATTAGGGTGATTGATTCTACTAAATTTTGGTGATTAAATATCCAGGGGATGGGGAGATGAAGTGGGTTATGTATATCTCCAGTCGGGTCAAACTTAATGACAATTTTACTCATTATTATTATTATTTACAATTTTTATATTAGCATTTACAATTTTTTATAAAAACCATCCCTACCCTTAAAATTAAGTTTTTTGCCATTTTATAATAGTTAAAATTATAAAAAGTTTTTCAATAAAATATCATAACAAATTATGCCCCACACAGTTTTAAATGTTGCTGGAAAAGTTAAGCAACTCCTTGCTGGATTTTAGTTATTCTTCAAAATAAATACGGTGCCCTTGTTGGTTGGTCTGCTTAGAGAATTGGAAACTATGGAAATCTTCAGAGTTGATTCATAAGGATAGTGGACCTTGCCATATTATCCTGGTGTAACTTCATTTAAACATCATCATAAGCTTATACAGACAGGGAAGTGGATTGCTTTGTGTTATCAATATCATATTTGTGTTCCTTAACTCTTGCTTGGGTTAGGAATTTTTCATATATCAAAAGATCCATGATCCAAAAAATGTGCTTTGATGTCTGTGCCTTTNGAAGTGGGTTATGTATATCTCCAGTCGGGTCAAACTTAATGACAATTTTACTCATTATTATTATTATTTACAATTTTTATATTAGCATTTACAATTTTTTATAAAAACCATCCCTACCCTTAAAATTAAGTTTTTTGCCATTTTATAATAGTTAAAATTATAAAAAGTTTTTCAATAAAATATCATAACAAATTATGCCCCACACAGTTTTAAATGTTGCTGGAAAAGTTAAGCAACTCCTTGCTGGATTTTAGTTATTCTTCAAAATAAATACGGTGCCCTTGTTGGTTGGTCTGCTTAGAGAATTGGAAACTATGGAAATCTTCAGAGTTGATTCATAAGGATAGTGGACCTTGCCATATTATCCTGGTGTAACTTCATTTAAACATCATCATAAGCTTATACAGACAGGGAAGTGGATTGCTTTGTGTTATCAATATCATATTTGTGTTCCTTAACTCTTGCTTGGGTTAGGAATTTTTCATATATCAAAAGATCCATGATCCAAAAAATGTGCTTTGATGTCTGTGCCTTTTTTTTAGTTTTTTATTTATTTATATGATTCATTTTGTTTGTTTGTATTCGAAAATACCCGACGGTATTTTTTGTAGACAAATGAAAATGTTAGTATTGTTTAAAAAAAAATATTTTTACACTTAGTTTCTTTGGTGTTTTTGTGTTACTTGATTGCTTGGAGGTACTGTACATCTGATTGGTTTGTTTACAGAATTTAAATTTGAATTGTGCAACTGTTCTGATCATTTCATTTTAGAGTGATTCAACCTGTTGCAGATCTTAGAACATCAAAAATGTTTGTTGTGTGAATTAAACCTCTGTATGGACCAAGTAAAGGTTTTGATATGGTGTATGTTTAGTTTCTAGTTCAGTTTTGTGGACAATATAACTTTGTAGCAAGTTTCTATTTTTGGGCTGCAATTTGAAAAAATTGTAGACCTATAAATTCTCATTGTTGTCTGTCCATCCTTTATCTTGAGAAGTGTTAGATGCACGAAAGTCAAGACCAGATATAGAACACTTAGGGGCAGGAGGCCCCGATTAACTATATATGAACTTCTGATGCAAACCAGAAGTCACTTTAGTTCAATTCAAAACTTTTTAGTTCAATTCAAAACTTTTTTCCCAAAAAGAGTTAGATAGATGACCAGCATGACTCCATTGCTAATGGAAAAGTACAGTATAAAGTACAGGGGCAAGACACTACAGTACTAATTTGCAGTGGAGAACATATATTTTAAAATAAATAAGTTAAAAATTGCAGCCTGGCTTTGTGACAATGACACAATAAATAATTTATTTTAATATTAAAAATAATTACAAAGAGAACTGATAAATGTACAAATATGCTACAGTTACAACTATATCATATATGTTGTTTTTAGAAATAAAAACTTGTAATATCCCAAACATTCAGAATAAATGCTAAAATAATTTTAAATTAATACTCAATTTTTTTCTTTCTCAAATTTGTGTCTTTCCGTATAACAGAAAAAATTTTGAAATTGCAAATGAAGTATGTTTTGCTTCCTTGTAACAATTGTTGACTTCATTACATATTTTCTCATTGATGCTAAGTGAATAATATACAATATGTAATATAACAAACATTGTGAAGACTAATATGTATATAGAAATATCATAAAATGATCACCTAAATAGTCTGGCTATAATACCGCTAATTTAATAATTAATATTAAGTAATTTGCTACTAGAGATAGACATTAGGTGCCATCTCTTTAACTAAATTAATAATTATAATTTTTAATAAGAGATGGCACCTAATGTCTATCTCTAGTAGCAAATTACTGGCATTATAGCCAGACTATTTAGATTGTTTGGAGAAGTTTCAATATGTAGTATTTTTAACTTTATCATTAACTTAATTTTGGAATGATCATTATTTATGCTATAATTTCAATTTATTTTATGTATTAGATTATATATTGATACCTACAGAAGTGAGAAGTAAAAATAAAATATCGTATGATAATATTTGGGCCGGACAATTTAATACATTCATCAAAGAGAGAGACAGCGGAATTATTTATGGTTGCGGATTGAATCAGTTTAAACAGACATGTAAATATAATATTTTCGAAATGATATCTTTATAAATGCTTAAGGGAAAGGTTATTTTATGCTCGAAGCTAAAAAAATTTTTTCACAGGCAATTCAGATCTGACGGAGTGTTTTGTTCCAGTAATTACAATGCGGGGAATGAAATGGAAGGAAATCTGTAGCGGTGAACACCACACAATAGCTTTGGATGAAGATGGTAATTGTAATTTAAAATAGTTTTACTAATTATTATTATTTTAATAATAGGAAATTTTTTACAGGCCATTTGTACTCTTTTGGTAGAGGTGATTTTGGTAGATTGGGCCTAGGAAATACCGACGATTTGACTGCACCTACGTTAATTTCCACCTTACAAAATGAAAAATGTGTTAGTATTTCTGCTGGAGATAGGTCATCATTTGCTGTCACAGATCAAGGTAAATATGATTTCAAAATTAGAAATTTATAGATTAGTCATAGTTATTTATTTACACAGTTAAGTTTTGAATACAGTAATACCCCAACTTACACGAACCCGGAGTTATGCGATTTTCAAATCTTGTCGATTCGTCTTTTGTTTGAGCGCCACGCAACCCTTGATTACTCGCTCCCTCCCACTGTTGTTCAGCTTACGTGTTCGGACGTGTCGCGCGGAATCCACGCATAGCTACAATTTATTTTGTGTTATTAATTTCTGTGTTTGTTATATCTACGGAGACTCGAGAGACTCTACTATGTCATCCAAACGAAGTAGAACTAATTCTTCTGCATCAAACAAGAAAAGAAAAACTTTATCTTTGGAATGTAAAGTTAACATTGGGTATGTTCGTAAAGTCGAACGAGTTAAGCGAGAATGAAGTCATCGTTATTCCTATTTCGTTAGACTTTTCGAACGATTCGTTACTAACGCGTTTAACTCGTTTGACTTTACGAACGTACCCATTATTAAAGACTTCGATACAAAAATGAAAATTTGTGAATTGGCAAAGAAGTTTGATCTACCGGAATTGTCGGTCAGAACAATTATAAAAGGCAAAGAAAAAATTCTCGAAGCTGTGAAAAATGCTCAATCTTTAAATTCAAGCATCATTCGTAAACGTCACAGTATTATCGCTGAGATGGAAACAATGTTAAAATTATGGCGTAATAATCAAGTAAATGTGAAAAATTGTAAAATAATATAGGCCTAATTTGTTATACATATGTATTATCTAAGATTTTATTAAACATTTTTTTTTAAATTATTGTTTTCTTTAGTCTCTGCCCTCAATTAAAAATTATTTATATGTATTTATATGCGAAATTATACCCCGACTTACGCGGTTACTGCTCGGTCCCACCTATCGCGTAAGTTTGGGGTATTACTGTATTCTTTACATATTAGAAATGTGATTTATTTTATATTTTATTATTGGAATGAATATGTTCAGAAGCCTTTACACTTTTCTTAAAATTCGTAGTGATTTTATTTTTGAACAATTTAGATAGTATTAACATTCTGCTTTAATTCTTATGAGTTGGGCATATTTCATTGACGTCTTATTTTTAATGAAATAAAATCTACAAACTTTACATTATATTGGTCAGATATAAATTGCTGATAAAAACATCATTTAAATGGTATCATTCTTGAAAGCACTTGGCATTTTCACAAGTATTGTTTGTGTTATGAGGTCTAAGAACACGAAGTTTAAGTATGAGATACAGTACTAAGTGAAAATTGCTATGAATATGTACGAAATACCCATGGTGTGACCAGAGGGAACATATCCCCCAATATTTTTGTACCTGTAAATTGTCCGTCTCCCAAGGTATACAGGTATCCCTTGTACAGCAGTTTGGGAAATTCCACAATTTTTAAATGTAAACTTTGTTGTTTGATAATTTTTATTCAAGTAAGCATGCATGTCTCAAATTTTAGAATATTGAAATTTTCAATTTGTTTTTGCCTTTTGTCAGGCTCACTTTAATGAAAAACTGATAAAGGAATTTTTCTCCCTTGACCCTTGCTTTCCCTTTCAACTAGGTATTGTTGTTGTTTTCAGGTCCACTGGACATCCTAAAAGCTAATGTCAGGGAATTTGGTATTAAATCTGGAAAATTAAAAATTATTATTATTACAGTGCATATAATGAAAAAGGAACAACAGAAACAATTTGAATGTGCACATTGTTGTGTCACATGATATGAATGATGATCTAAGATTACATTATATTATACATGCTAATTAAATTTAAGTGTAATAATTGCTAATATTTACTCCAATGTTTTAAGAAAAAACAAAATTTGAATTATTTGGCTTTAAATTGTTATATGAAAACTGTGTAGCTTATTTTTAACTGTTGTTTCATGGGATTCACTGAAAAGCAGTTAGCAATCCTAGCTTGCAGTCAGTTTTCTTTGGAAATGAGGTTGACGAGGTGGTCTGATTACAACTCTTACTGAGTAAATGCTATGTAGAATCCATCTATACTTCAGCAATGCTAGCAATTTATGATTGCAGGGTTTGGAATTGGTCACTATTTTAACTAAAAGTCAATGTTTGCAAATGTCATTAAGAGTCTTTTGGAAAGATATTACTGTACAATATTTCTTCTATTTTAATGTGCACCTTTTTTCAACTTTTTGAAAAGCTGAGAAATTCACATTAGATTCAAAGTATAAGTAACAAACTTGGAAGCAAAACATGTTAAGTGACATTAGTATCATTTCCAATATTATAGCATGTTAAACCTATTAACTATAATTTGAATTGTTTTAACCGTGGTTAATTGATTTTACTTTCTTTGAGTGTCACCCATCTATTGAAATTTCACTGATTTTAATGGTAAAATCTATTTACAGTTACAAGACAATAAACATAATTTCATTTTTTATGAAACAGTAGTCTGATCAATAAATAATATGTTCATATAAATTATATGTAATATCTGGCTAAATAAACTTAATTTAATGAAGAGATGTGAGATGTCTTTAGGTGAATGCATTACTATGCTTCCATTTTTAATAGCAATATGAATTTAATGGTCATTTCTTGACATCTGTCACCTTTTTAATTATTTCCTTGATAAAGTCTGTTCTGATCCTGTGATTATTGATTTCAGATAGTAAATTAAAAGATTCTGTGAGTTCTATTACTGATGTGCCACTAAAGATTGGAAAGTTAAAATGAAGGGAGAAACTGACAGTGATATTAAGGCTGCTATACACGATGGGTTAATCCTCAAAGGAGTAACCATGCATGCCTGATTTTGAGTCATTCCTGGATGTGTGGGGGGAAAATTTAACAGTTTCGGCGAACTGTACCGACCACCCGAGTAGAATCGGCCATATTCTTTAGGTTAATTCTCAAAGGAGTAATCATGCATGCCTGACCTTTATAATTCTTGGTAGTTTATGGGGTACAATTTAACAGCTTCGGCGACCTGTACCGACCACCTGAGTAGAATTGAAAAACCATTTGATTTTCCTGGCGCAGTGTCAGACTGCGCAGGCCGACCTAAACGTGTGTGAGAACAATGTCTCGTGAATGTTTGGAAGAATTATTTTCTATAACCTTATTAACTTTTATTATTTATAACCTAATAAATTAATTTTTCAGGTTATAAATTATTTTCGGATCAAAAATTTCTTGAGTAAATTAAAATTATAAATAATTTTAATATTTAGAAAACTTCTCAATTCATTTCTTCCGTTTTCATAAAACATCTCGATACTCTTTATCATTTTCTTCTACATTTTAAAAAATTTATTGTTTTAATATCCAAGTAAATTAAAACATGACAACTTAAAATAAGACAAAGTTTAATAAATTCTTTTTAATTATTAAATTATAAAATTAATTTGCGATAATAATGTTTACAATTTGTACTAATATCGGATGTGGTTGAGAATTATTAATATATATTCGTCTATAAAATTTAATCCATGAATTTTTTTGGTAGTAAAATCGACTTGCCATTGTCTTTCGCTGATAATTGATGCTTTTTAACATAATCTATAGCCCAAGATTTCTCTTGAAAAATTAATTTTGTGATCTGAAATAATTCCATTAAAAAATTATTCGTATGAAAAATTAATTTTGTGATCAGTGCTACCCAAACCACTACTACTACTATTTACTCCATAGACTTCTATGCATACTTTTTTCCGACAAGTTTTAATAGAATTTGTTGCTGATAAACATCAGTGGCGTAATAATAAACACAATGGCGTAGCGAACATAACTGCACCCGGGCCGCGACACTATATTGGCACCCCCTCCCCCTCCAGAAACAAATTTTGTTATTCTTGGAAACCATTAGACTCCCCTCTGCCAGTGGCAAGCTGCCCCACCCTCTGCTGAGAGGTTTTCTTCATTTTTGGGCGATAGGAAATTTGGAAGTTCCTCAAGGACAGGCAGCCTCAAAGGATTAACCCATCATGTATAGCAGCCTTTAGAAATTTGAAAAGACTGTGCAAACTGCTTATGAGTTGTAACCATCAAATTGTTGGAAAAGTTGCCACTGAAATACAAATTGACTGTCATGCTTAAGCCCAACTCGTACAAAGAATAGAGAGAAAGCACAAAAACTGCTAGATATTACATTAGTAACTCGTGGCTAACAACTGGATAAATGATTAAAATTGCTAAGCAATACAAAGACATTTTTTTTCATCCTCAGGAATTAGTGATTATGGTTAAACACTACTCCAAGAGCATGATAGGTTTGATTATTTCTGGGTTAGTCTGTCATGTCAATATAAAGTAAAAGAATTTTAAACATTTGTGAAGATTATTAAAATCATGTTCCATAGTAATGCTCACATGGAATGTGGATTTTTCCACTAACAAAGTATGCTTAATGGAAAACCAAAAAATGTATATCATATAATTTCCTGTAAGATACAAATGTCTGTAATGTCAACTAGTGGATTGGAGAAATTGGATATATCAAAATAGTGTATCCATACAACTTGAATTGCAGCCCAGAGATACAAGGAAGCTATGGTAGCTCATAAATAGAAAGAAAAAAGGCAAGAGAAAGTGGAGCAACAAGTTGATGGCTGCAGAAATAGTGAAAGAGCTAAATAAAAAGATGATGAGTTTTACAGAAGCTAATAAGGAGATTGGGGACATTAATGCACATTTAGAAGAACTGAAAAAAAGATTAATTTTATTCTATAATTAACTCTTCAGTAATTGTTAGTTAATTATAAAAAAACATTGTCAAATGTAGTATAATGTTTGGTCGTGTGTTACATTTGTGAAAAAGAGAGACTTTTTCAATTAATAAATATAAATTTGCAGAACAATCACTTGTACATAATTTTAATTATGGTCAAATGTTGACTTTGGATAAGAAATTAAATTTTTGATATTCATCCTTTACGACAGAATGTATTTGTTAAAATTCACTGACTCCAATTTCTATATCTAGGTCTGTTATATTCCTGGGGCGAAGGAACCACTTTCCAACTGGGCCTGGGCCGTGATGTCACCGAGACTTCCACTCCCACCAACGTCGTGGGCAAAGAAGCTTCCAGATACCGAATCACTTCAGTGTCTGCTGGAGGAAGTCACACTGTAATGCTAGGAAGAAGTAAAGAAAATTGATGAGTAAGAATTTATAGGAATGTCTTTGTTGAAGTTTTAAAATTTTTGTCAAAAATATATTTTTGCTCATTCTGTTTGTAATTGCATAGTTCCACTGAGAGAATAGACCAAAGATGGAAAATCAAATGTTGCATTTTGAATGAGTATTGTGAAATATTTAAAACACGATTGTGCAAACAAAAATCCAATCAATTTTTATTATAATTGCATCATTCATAAATGTTTGTTTTATTTGTTTATATTTTTGGATCGTTGTAAGAATGTTTCAGATCTTCTAGTCCAGCATATGTTTAAAATTAAAGGGACACAATGTGTTTTCAAAATGCAATATTAATACAAAAAATAAAATATTCTTTTAAATATTTTTAAAGGTTGTTATTACTTTTAAAACTAAAAATGCTTTGTTAAATAAGTTTTGTGTTCCGTGACACCAACGAATCATCTGCCAAATTGTATTGTATGAATGCAAAGAGATGCTGAAATTTTATAAAGACAATAAATGCTCAAGACTTTTATTTGTGTGTAAATTTTTAAATGCAGTGGAAAAATTCTATTCCAAGAAGTAAAATACAAATACCAACTCCTGGTAGCTCCACAAGTGTTGTATAAAACAATATACATTGGTGAAAGTATCGAGGCAGTTGTCTGATTTTGATTAAGCATGGCTTATGGATAAAATTCCATAAGTTTCTCATCTGTAATTATTATAAGTATTGAAGATGAAAAAACTACTACAGATTTAGTCAAATAATTACTATTTAAAATATTTTAGGTTTTAAATAATGTTTAACAAAATTAACAGTGCTTCCATTTCTTACATTAAAAATGAGAATAAAATATAATATAGAGAATGAAAATTATCTCTCCAATTCCCTAATCAATGTGAACAGCTCTGAGCCATTTATCTTTCTACATGAATTTAATTAACTACTATGTTGAAGGCTCACTTTGGGTGCGTTCTTTTATTCCTCCGCGTAACTTTGCGTGAGCAGCATCAGTTTAAAAATTCCTGCGGACCGCTTTCCTATATTCCGGCCAGAGTGCGCGCCATCGGATGGCAAAAACGGCTACTTGTAGTAGTAGTAGTAGTTTACGGTGGAAAGCAACATGGCGTCCTCCATGCTCAGATAGTTTCGTTTAAGGATCCATTATGTGGTTTTATGAATGAAAATTTAGAAGTTGTGAAAGTGCGAGTTAGTGCATGCAGTTATGTATCTCCTCAAATTTTTTTTCAGTGGTAGCTGGCATTCTAATTTTATTCGTGGCTATTTTGAATGCTCTGTCGGCAAAATAATTCATTTTATGGTTAAATTTTACAATTGATACCCATCTTTTGTCTCTAAAAACGCATATTTTAAAAATTATAGATTCTTCTTTAACGATACTATCAATAGTACCATCTTTCTTTCGCCATCGTTCCTAAATGCCTACAAACAACAGCACACTCCTGTAGTAGCGGAGATGCAGAGCGACGTTATTAACGAATGCACCCTTTGTTGATGGAAACTGACTTTTGTCACAGGTAAACAAGTGTCTCGATGCAGTTGTTATTTTTGGGGTAAAACCTCTTTTGTGATGCTGTGTGAGAGAATGCATTGTCTTAATGTGAGATCCATGAAAGGTTGGATCATTTTCATTGAACTTTTTCATATGGCTTTTTCAGCACTTCCAAGTGGAAGGCCTGGTTTGCTGTTTTCCCATTTATAAGAATTCATGAGAGTACCCAACTCCATGAATATCAACTTATGAACAAAATAAATGCCTACAAAAAGTTAGCAAGGAGGAGTTCCTTAGTAACAGCAGAATAAGTACTATACACAAAGGAAGAATAAGAGAAAACTGTCAGCATGTAATTATGGCTGTACCACCCTCTATCAGAAAAGTTATTGTGACAAATAAACACTTATCTCTGGCCTGGGCCAACATAAAAGCAGATGACTATATCCCAGTCTTCCGCTGCTACAACCATCAAGCTAGTGGATGCATCGAGAACCCGAGATGCAATCACTGCGCCAAACAGCATCGCTTTGCTGACTGCTGCCAGCTTGAGAAGACTCTTTCCTGTGTTAACTGCATAAAGACAAATAGTGAGCTGTGAGATGAGAGAAAATTTAGGACAGACCATAATGCTTTTGATCCTGCCTTTCCTATGATTAACAGAATAAAATTCAACACAGTAAGTAGAACCAATTATGGCTAATAGCTCACACTCCATCACGACTCAGACCAACAATCAATTGAAGATCCTACAAATCTATCTGCAAAGTGGCAAAGCCCCATCTTCCATTCTGATCAAGATCGTCGAAGAGCACAACTCTGACATCATAGCTATTCAAGAGCTACCCACTTCAGTGGCTGGACTGCCATTCCTCCTAAGACCACTCTAACAACTAAAACTGCTATTCTGATCAGGAACGTTAACTTGACTGTGCAATTTATGCCCCACCTCTCAACCAATTTCGTCACTACCAGGTCCATTTACATCCAAAACACCATCATATTTATCTCGTCTATTTAGTGCTCTCCCTTTGAGCATATTGAACCGCTTCTCCACGACTTAGACAAAATCAGCAACACTGTGGCTGACCGGCCATGGCCATTTGTGGCAACTCAAACGCTAAATCCTTTCTTTGGCATAGTCCCTCGGAATATCCTAGAGCAGTGATTCTCAAACTTTTTCGATCCACTGCCCCCTTTGTTCCATAAAGTTATACCCAACGCCCCCTAACCCATTTTCTCTTGTGTGAGAAAAGGATTGGAAATATTCTTAGGAAAACTTTTCTATGAATCTCACACTTTGTGCCCTTACTGTACATTGTTCTCATCATCTGGAAACCATTAAACGCAATGTTTCCTCTTATCAGCCCCAATTTTGCCTTTGGTCACCGTTCAATACCCTGCCTCTATCATAGATCTATTCATCGTGCCAGAAGGGGGCGTTATTGCTTACTTTGAGAAACGCTGAGCTAAAATAAAAGTCAATGTGTTAGAAATATTCAAGTTGTGACCTTCAATAAAAAATAAAATATATATAAAATGTCAACATTTTATATATATTCTGTCGAATTTTTATATATAGAATTTGTCTGCCGTCGCCCCTCTATATTTCCTTAACGCCCCCCTGAAAGCCTCCAGCGCCCACAAGGGGGGCGTTATCGCCCACTTTGAGAAACGCTGTCCTAGAGGCTATCTTTTTCAAGAGCTTGTTGCAGCGCTTCACCTTATCTTTTGCAACACAAGTCAGTTCCCTTTCCACATACTTCTCTCCAAGGGGGGAGAGTTGGATCGACGACGTACTGGCCAACACTCCAATGGCATCAATGGTCAGCTGTTGCTCCACACTTGATATCCCTAGTGCAAGTGACCACAGGTATATTGAGACACACCTTAAGATCAACGTGGATAGCAGTAAGCCTTCTACTAATGACTACCGCACTCGGTGGCCACTTTTTCAAGACATGTTAAATCCAATTGTCCCGAATTAAAAAACTTGAAAAAAGTTTATTTTGAGGATAGTTGGATAATCAAACGAATAGACACAATCTCTAGTTATAAACAGAACTCAAGTAACAGTCCCTAATGATATATATATTGGACACTATAAATAAGGGTCTGAACTATAATGGCCCTAATAGATGGGAAGTGCTAACAATAATCCCAAATCTAGATTGCATTTGTAATCATTTACCTGAAATGGAAGACACGGGTAGCAAAAGCAATTTTAAGTAACACAATAAAGAGATTTATAACAAAAGAAAAAAAGAATATTACAAATACAGTGGTACCTCGGTATACGTCTGCTTTAGAATACGTCCAATTCAGAATACGTCCTGTTTGGACGAAACAAATTTTGCTCGGTATACGACTTTTGTTTCGTATACGACATAATTCAATTATACGCGCCATCAATGAACAAGTATCACTATCGGTATACTAGACCAGACTAGACGTTCGCAGTGCAACGGTTTATAACTTTGTTAAATTTCTTCTGATTTTAATTCGTAAGTAAAATTTTAATATTTTTATTAATCACGAATTGCAAAAAGGCAAGTGAAAAGCGACAGAAAACTAAAAAAATGACTAGAATTACAATGGAACTGATAAAAGAGATTGTTGAGAAATACGAAGGTGGCACGCGTGTTCGAGATTTTAACTGTTGCCTACCGTATTCCGAGAACGACAATATGGACAATTGCAAGAAATAAAGACATTATTAAATCTTCTAACGTTGCAAAAGGGGTTAAATCAAGTTCTAAACAGAGATCGAAGGCATTAGATCATGTCGAGAAATTGCTTTTGCTTTGGATAACTGAAAAACAGTGTGCTGGCTGGTGTGGGTCCTATCAGAAGCAATTATTTGCGAGAAAGCTAAAAAGATACATGCTGATCTCATGAAAAATCAAGTAGGAACTAGCCAGGAAAGCGAGGTGTTAAAGCCAGCCATTTTTTTTCAGATGAGAACGGATTAATCATTTTTACATTACTTCTTATGGGAAAGGTTGGTTTGGTATACGTCCAATTCGGTATAAGTCCAAACATCAGGAACGGATTAAGGTCGTATACCGAGGTTCCACTGTATAGAGATAAAATTAGCAGAACAAAAAACTTTTTAATTAGAAACAACTTACAGATAATTAAAGCTGGTAAATCTAAGCAGATAATTATTGTAGATAATGATTGGGTGGAAACCAAGAAACAAGAACTGATAAAAAATGATTGCTTTTGAAAGCTTCCAATAAATCCAAAATAAATTTTAATTAAAGAACTAAAAGTGAGACCGAATTCATTTTGAACGACGACAATGATCGTACGCCTAAAATTAACATCCATCTTAAAACTCACAAACCAAATGAAAAAGTAAGACCTATAATAGACTTTAAATTCACTCCGCTATACAACCTAGAAAAATTTTTAAAGCAAAAATTGAAAGCTAACCAAAATTCAAGATTTGCAATATATAGTACAGAACAACTTTTAACTGATATTAAAAATATAATAATACAAGATACCTTTAGAATAGCCAGTTTAGATATTACCAATATGTACCCCTCAATGGTATGGGATATTGTGGAAAAGAAATTAAAAAACTTAATGATACAACTTACAAGAAATAATAGACTTTTATAATAATAAATTTTTCATATAGCAGTTACTATTTTGAAATGGAAGGTGAATACTACACTCAAAATGACAGGATTAGTATGGGTTCAGTGGTAGGACTAAAATTGGTAGAGATAGTGATGATCGACATAGAAGATAAGCAAAATACAGGGGATAAAATTCTACAGGCATTACGTTGATGACATTTTAATAATATACGATGAATGTGAAACTAAGTTCAATAATATAGAAGTAATCATAAACAGCATAAATGGAGAAATAAGTTTACTGTAGAAGAGAACAAAGCCACTACAAGTATAAATTATTTAGATGTTACAATAAAAAGGAGTAACAAGTTGGAATTTAAACCCTATAAAAAGCCGTCCTCGATAGATGTAACAATTAGATAAGACTC